GGCCAGTCCTGAGGAGGAGGAGGGCTGGAGTTTCTCTCCACAACAGGAGGGGAAAAAGCAAATCCTGGCCTGAGGCCACAGCCCACTACAGGAGTGGAGAGGGTGTGTGGGTAGGGACAGAGGAATTGCGTTTTTATCCTGTTTATTTTCTGTGCCCCAGTTGTGTTGAAGTGCCTGTGTTATTTTCTGTGCCCAATACGTAGTTAATTAAACCTTCCTTTTTGAGTTTAAAAAGCCTGGTGTGCCTTAACCACAGGGTCCTCCCCGCTTTGCATGTTACCAGGGGCAAAGGGAGGCCAGGGAACACAAACGGGCCCAAATCAGAGAGGTTGCCAACTCTCCAGGGGGCACCCAAAGATCAAGGTACCCACTTCCCAAGGTGGGGAATTTAGCCAGAGGGGTCTCACTGTCCCTCAAGGAAGGTGGTAACTCAATTCAGTGAGTGGTGGCAGCAGTAACGAAGAGAAAAAGGCCCACCAGGCAGGGTGGGAAGGCCAAAACAGGGGCTTGCGAGCCACAAGACGGCACCTCAGTCTCCCAGGGCTGAGGGTGGGCCCCCATTTTGCCACAGTGCCTACAAGTTCAGGTCTGTTCTTCCCCAGTAACTGGCATTCTAAACCACAGTCTAATTCCAATGTGTTTGTTTTTTTCACTGAATATTTCTTGGATACATGCGCATGGCTCCTTCCACATGGGGTGGGGGGTGGGCAGACACCACAGCGGTGGGACGTAGCGTAGAAATGGTGCCCATGTACACACATATTCCTGTGCTCCCACCGAGCCCCTCATTTCTTCCTGTTATGTATGCACAAAAGGGCAGGCAGGATGGCGATTGTGCTGGGGGGGGGACCGCCCCCTGCCCCTACTGGGCTGGGCTGGGCTGTATCACTACAGTGATGCTTGACATGGGAAGGGGGGAACCTTTAAAGGACTTGGGGGGGGGGGGGGACGAACTGCCACATGCCATTTTGAAAAGACAGCTTAGCTCTGTCTCATCCCCCCAGTGACAACCGAGGGAGTGTCTGAACCGTCACTCCTCTGCAGCCCCTCCACGGATTCCCCTCTGATCTGAAGAAAAACATGTCTCTTTTTTCTCCACCTTAAAGGTAAAAGCCACCAGAACTGAAAGAAATCATGCTCAGAAGGAGCTAGTATCATATAGATGTTTTCGATTAACGCAGGGGCCTTCCTGCCCCCTTCTCCCTCTCAGTTTGACGAGCAGGTTGAAAAGTTGACCAAAGTAAGTACAGGAATCCTGGGTAGCCAATTTACGGGCAAATATTGTGAAGATGGGTTATAAATGCAACTGCCTTAAAAACATGCAGCATTACAGAAAATATCTGAGCAGAATCAGGCAAACAACTGAATACTCTCTATCTGCTAGCTATGGATGAAGTGGTTAGAACAGCTTACACTAAGACAATTCCACACACATAATTTGCACTGCATCAGTCCAAATGCCTTCATGAGAAAAGCATCAAATAACCAGTTAAAAAACCAAGAGACTCTGCCTGTTATAGAAATTTAACACACACAATCAAACCCAGCGACGGCTTCAGATTGCTGAGGCTGCATAAAATCTAATTTAAAAAGAAATTTGTACACTGTTGAAGTTCTTTGCATATTTCAGAGCAGAATTCATGTGCACCGTCATACCCAGTTTAGCTACAAGTATCAAGAACCATTCAGGTGCACCTGAGTGGGGCTTACTCTTTCTCCAGTGTGTCAGAAGCAATTAAGAGGAATGAGAAATATCTGAAGTACTGGTTTGTCAGAAGTTTCAGTATGATCCTGTGCAGTCCAGATTATCTGCACAGGTTTGTGCCGTCAGTCTCTCTAAAACTTCAACGTTCATTAAAATAAGTTACATCAAGCTCAAAAGCTGCAGATGTTCGATCATGAAAGCTATAATTCACAGGTGATTATTTCTAAGTCAGCATGCTACCATGATTTGTCCCGGGCATGTTTCGCATTTGAGAGTGAAAATCATCCGGGGTAAACCAGTTTTTTTGCACTTGTGAAAGCTTAATGAGCACCAATTAGCACTTCCTATTTTAATTTTCCATCAGTACACAGAATATTGATGTGGAGTACTGTTAGTCCAGTTTTACTTACACATTTCAATTTACAATTGTACAGATTCAGCAAAGGGAGTGGTAGGATACAGCCCTATGAAAGTGAAAAATCTTTGACAATGGTATTTGTTGAACTCAGTTGCTGGAATTGCAGGCCAACCAGACTACATGAACTGCAGTCAGGTTGTCTATTTTATACTGAATGGAAACAAATTTAAAATTTCTGAATCTGGAAATTTCCCTTCTTTGCTTAGCTAACACATTGCTAAATACGCAATCAAGGCCAAACCACACATAACACTAGGTTTTTCATGATGTTATTTGGTCCTAAAAGCAATTTCAGAAATAAATTGGGATTGCAACAATGTGGAAGGGAGGGATTTGTGATTTACTCTTCTTCTGGTACCATTTTCTCAACTGAAAATGCCCTGTGAATTGAAGAAGAAGAGATTGGATTTATACCCTGCCCTTCACTACCCAAAGGTGTCTCAGAGCGGCTTACAAACTCCTTTCCCTTCCCCTCCCCACAACAGACACCCTGTGGGGTAGGTGGGGCTGAGAGAGCTCTTGACAGAAACTGCTCTTTTTCAAGAACAGCTCTTATCAGAATTACGGCTTGCCCAAGGTCATCCAGCCAGGTGCAAGTGGAGGAGTGGGGAATCAAACCCGATTCTCCCAGATTAGAGTCCGCGCACTTAACCACTACACCAAACTGGCTCACAATTGCCATAGCGTGTGTGTGGGAGGGGGAGGGAGATAAGAAACCAGAGCGGACCCAATCAATATTATCTCTGCAGAAGACACATAGTAGGGCTACAACATACATCTAGAGTTCCAGCCACAGAATTCCATTATCATGTTTAGTCTGGCTTTTCACAACAGTTCCATCATTGATACCCAGATAAACAGCACCCTGGTCAGCAACTAGTTTTTTCAGGATGATTGCTTTGATAAGGAGGTGAGTGGGTAGTAGGCAATGTTCCTTCTATTTTTTTCCCCTTCTGAGCAGAGCAATTCACATCCTGAGCAGAATATAACTGCTGTAATCGTAAAATGGACAATGCAATGTACAGCTCCAGATTGCTGCTGAGCAGGGCTTCCTGTGTTAATGAGCGGCCGCTCACAAGTGCAGCTTAGAGGGAACACTGGTAGTAGGGCCAAAGTCCCATCTTCTCTTTCCAAAAATGGCTTGATGCCAAATCCTACTGCTGAAGATGCAACTCATTCATACCCCTCTTAGCCATCTAGAGGAAAAACAAGAGGGTCCCAGGGCACAACACATGGGGCAGGATTTAATCACGTCTTAGCATATACATTAACCATTGAAGAACTATTGTGCATTAAAAAGAATCAGACCATATCACTGGAAAGCTGTTGCCAAATGGCACAGTTTTCCTTGTGAGATTAGTAATTTAGTCTTCCAATTTTGTCAGTAAATATCAGAAATACTGGTAAATACTGGATCCCCAGTCAAAAGCATTTCCCCCCCACTGTATACTGGATCTCGTACTTGTGTAGCTTACAATCCATCAAAAACAATCAAGCCCTAAAATTGGTTATCACGTACATTTCTACATTTCACACCCACCATAGGGAAAAATGAAGTTCAAGTAACCCATTCTCCCCTCCTCCATTTTATATTCATAACAACCATCCTGCAAGACGGGAGGGGCATTTGTATGCAGTTACATTATCAGAAAACAGGTGCAGGACACCTATACCCAGTTAAGCAGAAAGCACACATTTTTTGAGAAACGTAATTCTTATAATCCAATTCAAATAAACAGTTTGTCTCTTAAAGTAGTTTTGTGTAGTGACAGCAACCTACAACAGAATGCTGTTGGAAAATTTTGTGCGTTTCCCTCCTGATTTACTGGCAAAGAACACAGGGGATCTGTTTTGGAACGAGGTCGCATGAGAGCAACATGGCACACGCCAGCGTTCAGAGACAACCAGTGGCCAACTCAGTTCACCATCAATACCAGAAGCCTCACCAAGCAAGTGTTTACCTGGTCTTGAACGCTGCAAGAGGCTTCCCATCTCAATGCCTTAAACAGCGCTGCTTCTCCTGCACTTTGAAGGGCCTCTCAGACCTGCCAGAGGAAGTGACACAACTCCTACTTGCAGCCAGCTGCCTACTGAGTTACACGTCCAGCCTCAGAAACTTCAACAAAGACAGGAAGACACCCAAAACTCTCTGGGGACTGACTAATTCCCCCGCTTGAACTTCTAAACCTTCACCTGTGACACCGCACCTCAGTTCTGAACACCACAGGCGAGAAATGCAAACACAAGAGAACAAGCCTCACATAACCCTCCACACACACACACACCCCGCATGCCCCAGGGGTCAGCATGCAAGTGGAAAAGTAATGTAATGTGGACAGATAGAGGCAGCAATTACTCCCTGCCCTTTTTACCCTATATATGTTGATTTACCAGTATTCCTCCATTTTCATTTTCCCCTCTCCTCCATGCTGGCCAAAACAGATCATGGAGCACAAAACAGAATTTGTGCCATTCCATATTTTTTTTTGGCCACACGCCGAAGCAAACTTTGTCATTTAAAATTCATCTAAACGTATTCTTGCCAGCCACTTTAACCTTTTTAAATTGCTACCCACCTTGGGTCTGAGTCTTCTGGGACAAACGCAGGTCTTTTTGTGTGTGTGTGTGTGACATACTAAAGCAAACTTTGTTACCTAAAGTTTAAGTGCGTTATTGTGGGATATTTTAACGGGGGGGGGGGATTTTCCCCTACAACGCACTGTTTTTTGTTGTTACCCACCTTGAGTCCCAGTTTTCTGGGAGAAAGGAAGGCTCCCTTAAAAGTGTTAAATAAACTTTTGCTAAGTGTTGGGAAAGCAAAAGCTTTTCTCTTCTTCTCCCTTCCCCCCCCCCCCCCCCCCCCCCGCCATTACTGACCTTCCATCCCGCGGAGCTGTTGCTGTCCCCCTTGTCCTTAAAGTAGGGCACGTTCTTGACCATCCACTCGTAGATCTGCGAGAGGGTGAGCCGCTTCTCCGGGGCGCTCTCGATGGCCTTGGTGATGAGGTCCGCGTAGGACAAGTTGCCCCAGGCGTTGCGGCGGGACGAGCTGCTCTTGCGGGGCCCGGCCACCGAGGCCAAGGCCGAGCCCCCTGCCGCCGCCGCCGCCGCCTGCTGCTGCGGAGGGTGCTGGAGGCAGGGGAAGTCGCCGCAGGGGCAGCCGCCCGGAGCGCCGAGCTCCCCGGCCCCCGCCGCGCCGCCGCCGCCCGCCTCGAAGCCCTCGCCTCCGCCTTCCAGCAAACTCAAGAGGTCCCCGCCGGGCGAGGAGGCGCACAGGGCCGCGACCCGCCCGCAACGGGACGGCGAGGCGGCCCTCGCCGGGGTGGGAGTCGGCGTCTGCCCCGGGCTGGACGGGGCGAGCTCCGGCCGGGGCAGCGGCCAAGTGCAGGAGCGGGGCCGGGGCAGCGGCTGGAAGTCGGGGTCGGTCTCCACGAGCTGAGGCGCTTCGGCCATGGCGGAGGAGGAGGAGAAGCCGGGTCCGTCTTCTCTGTCGGGGCACGCAGCGGCCTCCTGGTCGAGCGACGCGAGAGGCGAGTCCGTGTGCGAGCCGGCCGCTCCCGCCTGGCTCCTTCCCTCACTGCCTGCCTGACGAGCAGGCGCGCATACAACAGGTCTCCCCCGACGCTGCCTGCCGGAGCTGCCGCTGCTGCTGCCGCCTCCAGGGCCGCCCCTTCGCCCCGGGCTGAGGGACGAGCCGGGGCAAGCGGCCCAATAGCCGCCCCGAAACGCCCCTGGAGGCGCTCCGACCAGGCGGGGCTTAGTGTGACTCGAGGCGGGCGCCTCTCCTGTTCCCTCAGCAGCAGCGAGTGAGGAGGAAAACACACCCTCCTCGGACCCGCTTCTGGGCCGAAGAAACGCGAGAGGGGCGAGAAGCCGCCACGATACTCAAGCCGGGCAGAGAAAGAGCCGGCTGTGCCCTCGGGGAGAGGCCGAGGCGGCTCCGGGAGTTCTTTTCTGCCCGGGAAGAGGGCGGGACGCGCTTCTGCCGCCTCGGCCTCCTCCCGGCGCGGCCTGTGCGCCGCTTGTCTGACTTCGTGTGAGGAGGAGGAGACCTGCGTGTGTGTTGGAAGGGCATGTGTGAAAAGAGGCGCGGAGAAGTTAGGGCGTGGTGGCTTTTCGGCAGGCAGGATGTGCAGGTGGAGGGTGTAGCGGAAAGCGTGGACGTGAGCGAGTCTGGCGGTGCAGTCCTGAGCAGAGTCACGCCCTTCTTAAAGTTACTGACTTAAATGGATTTAGAAGGGTGTAGCTCTACTTGGGACCGCACTGCTGGTGGAGGGTGTCGTTCTGAGAGAGGCATCCGTGTTAAGAGCTTACTTGAATCTCACTGGTTTGACAGACCACAGGGACCTTTTTTATTCTGTTAGTCATATGGTGTTTTTTTGGCTTAGATGAGCATGTTAAACTTTTTGTCAACTAAATACGTGCTTCTTAAAGTGTGCGAGAGAGAATGAGAGAGAGTGCTTCACTATTGAATTCAGCCCTAGAAATGTAAGGCTTTTGAATGCATCCTTTACTTGGTGTAAGTCCCATTGAACTTGGGGGTTGGGGTTACATGCAGAAGGTTGTGCTGCCAGGAAACCTAAAACGTTGGGATGGGAATCCTACCAGTTAATCCAAACAGCAATAAAAGTTAGGGAGCCAGGTTCGTCCTTGTGTCTGTGTTAAGTGCCCTCAAGTTGCTTCTGATTTATGGCAACTCTGTGAATTAATGTACTCTAAAACGTCCTATTGTTAGCAGCCATTCTCAGGTCTTGCAAACTGAGGGCCATGGCTTCTTATATTGAGTCAATCCATTTTATGATAGGTCATACGAACATAAGAGAGGCCAATGTTGGCTCAGGCCAATGGCCTATCCAGTCCAACACTCTGTCACAGGGCCAAAAATACCAGGTGCCATCAGAAGGTCCACCAGTGGGGCCAGGACACTAGAAGCCTTCCTGCTGTTGCCCCCCCCCCCAGCACCACAGAGCATCACTTGAGAGTGCCTATCTATACCTTGTGGCTAATAGCCACTTATGGACATCTATTCCATATGTTTATCCAATTGCCTCTTGAAGCCATCCATGCTTGTAGCCGCCACCACTTCCTGTGGCAGTGAATTCCATGTGTTAATCACTCTTTGGGTGAATA